ATTGGCGGCTGGTTGCCCCCCCCCCCCCCCTCCCCCCCCTTATCACCTTCTGTATAGTATGAATGTGCCAACCCTGCACAGCGGCTCCTCTCTCCTCTCTGAAGATGTGGTCAGCTCAGTTATTTGTTGAAAATCCGGCCTTGGGTAGTCAGGGGACTGTTGTTTCTCGCCTTCCTTTGCTAATATTGATCTGCATACATTTTCTTATCCTGTACCCTAAACAATGTGTCAATGTGTGCTGGGCTTTATTTACTTACATGGGAATGTTACTGAATAAAGCAAACACAATATATGGGGCTAATGGATCTAAATCTAAAACATAAATTACATAATGCAAGAGTTAAGTTACTTTAGGCTCAATTCACAAGCCTTACACACCAGAAAAAGCATCTTTAATGTCCAATATATATACATCATTAAAATAAATATCCTAAAAATAAATATAAATACATAAAATAAAGATCTGGAAAATAAATAAATAGAAGAAGGATCCTAAAAATAAATATACATAAATAAAAAAAAAATCCTGAAAATATAATTATAAAACATAAAGATCCTGAAAATAAATATATACAATTAAAATAAAGCTCCTGAAAGTAAATATCTATAAATAAAATAATGATCCTTAAAAATATAAATAAATAGAATAAAGATCCTGAAAATAAATATAAATGAATAAAAAGATCCTGAAAATAAATATATAATAAAAGAAAGGTCCTGAAAGTAAATATAAATAAATAAAGATGCTGGTGTTTACGTTTTGTAGATTGTACTTTACTGACAACTATATACTGCAAGAAACTGCTCACACTATTACAAAAATATTTCATATACACTATACTGCCAAAAGTATTGGGACGCCGGCCTTTACATGGACATGAACTTTAATGGTATCCCAGTCTTAGTCCATAGGGTTCAATATTGAGTTGGCTCCGCCCTTTGCAGTTATAACAGCTTCAACTATTCTTTACACTTGGCACAATGCAGTCAGGCAAGTACCGTTCTCCTGGCATTTAAATTATTAAATAGTAAAAATATGCAGTTGTATGTTATCAGTAATACGTATTTAACAACAAGCTTTGGAGACAACTACACACAAAGAGCACACAGGGCAGGTATGGGGGTGTACATTATTCTTGTGTGACCATTTTACTGATTCACTATCTTTTCACAGCATCCACCTCTGCTTCCACCACCCAGAATGGTAAGTACATTATTGTACTATATAATGACTGCAATTCACTAAAGATCAGTAAACAGCAACTTTCCTGCTTGTCATTATTGTTCAACATTGCATGCTGCTTACTCGGGTCTGACTCCTATGATGATCATACAGGGAAAGAATACATGTGATGCACGGCAATGACGACATTCAGCTCTAATACTCCAAGTAACCATTCAATTTGAATGAATATTTCCAGGGAATTCAGCTTTTGGTATACACTGAGTGGCCAGATTATTATGACCACCTGACGTCTGTAGGCAAATTAGCTATAATTTTGGCCTGCAACCATACAGCCTCCCATTATTCATATTTCAGAATGTATACGTGTCAGCATTGGGGCTGTGTGTTACCAGAGAGGGCTGTAAAGAACACTTGGAGACTCTTTAGAGATACAAGTCACGGTGGACCAGGGCTCTTCTAAAATTCTGATGCTCCATGATGAAGTGGGGAAATGTTGGGATATTATATTAGGAAGGAAGTTAGCTACATCTGTCTGTGGTAATTAAAGGGTCCTTCTGACACCCATTCAGTAAACAGTAAGGTTAAATTGTTTTGTTTTAAATGAAAAACTGCTGTGATGAAAAAAAATGTTTGGTGGTTTTCAGTCTCTCAACAGATCCTCCCCCATTCTTTAATAAATAATATTATCCAGGTTGAAGCTGAAAATGAATGCAGCTCTGTGTTATTTAATATATGATACATTTTTTTAATACAGAATACAGAATTTTTTGGGGGAATAGTCACAAGTCAAATAAGTCACCTCTAATATGTGCATCCTAGGTCTGGATCACTGCTGTTTACTGTACAAATCATTCATCCCAGATAGTACACACAGTGCTCTTCTACTGGTGCTGCATTTAAGTGTTCCAGCTCTCTTATGGTAAATGATCCTGTCATTCACCCGTCCCCTCTTCTCTCCTCATCCATTCACAAATAGCCCTGTATTTGGTTACACGAATACAAGGTGTTCTGTGAATGGATAAGGAGAGAGGAGGGTCGGGTAAATTACAGAACCATACCTTGTCCATTCAGAGAATACCTTGCATTCTGTGAACAGACCGAATGGAGGCAAGAGGAAAGAGAAGGTGAATGACAGGACCCTGTAGGTCAGGTCTCAGTTACCGTGCCAAAAGAAGAGCGCTGTGTTTAGTATTTGGGATAATGGAACTAAGATTTGTTTCATAAACTTTTTTTGGTCTTAGATAGAGTAGGGAAGGGTTTTTTTTAAACTGTCTGTGTTTCATTTGGGAAATTTCCTTTCACTTCCTGTCCTGTCACCTTCCCCTCACTTCCTGTTCTGGGGACAGCTCTAAAATGTTTGATTTCCCCTCACCTTTAATGGCCATCAGCAAAAACAGAGGAATTGAATCTCCT